GGCATGAAAAGTCATGATTGTCATGTATTTATGCAAAGGCTAATACCTATCGCATTTCGTGATATGTTACCAATAAATGTATGGCAATCACTCACCGAGCTTAGCTTATTCTTCAAGGAAATAACATCTACTGTGATTAAGGTCGAAGATATGATCCGTCTTGAGGAAAATATACCAATAATCTTGTGCAAATTAGAGCGTATTTTCCCACCTAGTTTTTTCGACTTAATGGAGCATCTTCCCATACACTTGGCATATGAAGCAAAAATAGCCGGACTCGTATAATATCGATGGATGTATCCATTTGAAAGGTACAAATTAATGATTTTAGTGAACATACATAAGTTTATAACTCGTCAAATATTGATTAAGTCTAATGAACTCACAATATTATTGTAGGTACCTTCGCAAATTAAAAAATAATGTTAAGAACAAAGCCGTAGTCGAAGGGTCAATATGCAATGCATATTTAGTTGAGGAAGCTTCAATGTTCCGTTCATATTACTTCGAGCCTCATGTACACACTAGGCATCGAAAAGTGCCTAGAAACTTTGATCGTGATCGAGAATCGAATGAAAATATTGAAGGCATGTTAGCAATATTCATTCCTAAAGGTAGACCTCTTGGTCGAGCACGATCACATGTCTCGACAGATCAAGAAAAGAATGCACCGCACACCTACATTCTATTGAACCGTGATGAGGTCACACCTTACACGAAGTAAGTTTTATAACTATCAACTATTATTACTATACATTTATTCTTTAACTACCATTCAATTTTAAAACATATAATAACAATATTTTTATCGTCAAATATTTTATCGATTAACTTTATGAAAGTGACCTCGACATATCGAAAAACGAGATTGATTTATGACTTCAAAACTAATTTGCATCATGGTTCCATCGATATGTGAGTATTCCCGCTGTCAAGATTGTTATTAAATATTCATAAATTTATTTTATCAAATTTTATTATAACATTACCTTATAAGTAACTCGGTCCTTACATACGAGCAAGTCGAGCACAACCTAAAACCGTAACAGATCATTATATTAAAGATTTGGCCAAAGGACCATTGCGAACTACGAAGTCATATGCGGGGTACATTATAAACGGATATAAGTTTCATACCGATATTGGTCATTCGGAGAGAGCATCAATGTGTAGTGGAGTGTATGTTAAAGGAGTTAGCTACGGTGTGGTAGAAAATGACTACCACGGTAGGTTGATTGACATACTCGAACTTGAGTATCCAGCCTTACCAATAAAGAAAACAGTTTTGTTCAAATGTGATTGGTATGATACAACACCCGGTACCGGTACACGAGTTCATGATTATTATGGACTAGTCGAGGTTCATAGTCGCAGGTATTCAAATAGATCCGATCCCTTCATACTAGGATCACAATCGCATCATGTGTATAATGTAACATATCTTACATGTAAATTTATTCGACAAGATTAGTTGGCGGTATGTAAGGTTAAACCAAGGTCGACGGTTGATGTGCCGTAAATGTCCGTTACCGTTGAGTAAACCAATATCAAACCCTTTCAAGAAAATGAAATAGAAGGTCAACACAATGTCATGCACATTGATGATGATGAAGGTCGATCATTGATTGATCCTACTGGAGCATTATTAGAATTGGACGGTGGTGAAATAGATATTCATGATGAATCGGAGTTAGAAACCAATGTTGAAGAAGACTTAGATGAAGAATGTGACAATGAACTCAAATGATTAGAGATAATATGGTATATCCCATTGGATTATGTTATATTGTATTTTTTATTCAATTCATAAATTATGCACTTGGATTTTATGTAATTGCAGTTCGAATTTAAGGGTTTAGGCAACCTTGTCCTCCCAGGATATTGGGATAGGCTAGTTTTGTCCCCTCAAGTGTAATTTTTCAAACTATTTTAATAAATCTCCGAGGTACCGTCCTTGTTCTATCACAAAAAGGAAAAAAATTAGGTTTATTGGTATGTTTACCTACATAGTTAACATATATTTTTTAAAGGTAAGATTTAATTAAATAAATGTTTTTGATTTATTGTTGTTTAAGTATAAATCAATTAGTTCATATTAATTTGAATGTTATATGTAAGTATATATGTATTAAATAATTCATATTTTATTTAAAAACTATTGAATTTAATAATTAATATGTAGATCATAATAACTCGAGGTAGGGGTCGTGGTTCGGATATCGATCGGTCCGACAATGATCGTGGACATCGTAGACACCCTTCTTATTTCGCTCACGGTCGAATGGATCCCCCACCGGACATTCCTCCGTACCACTCTTCCGGTGGCCCCTCCATATCCCGTTCCATGCCTGTCATGTCTCGGCCTCGACCATTTCCGTATTATGAACCTCCACGTCAACATCCCTCATCTTTTTCATCGTCATCGTCGGTGCCTTCGTCATCACATCGGGACAACTCGTTCCATTCCACCCCACAATTTCCCGTGTCAATCGGCTTCGGAACCAATAACATCCGCGGTTGACCATCGAGTACGGGTCATTGTCGTTGGGCGCAATGAGTACGGTTTATGCTTAATTTAATTAAATATTTTTTGTTTATTGTTATTATGTACTCGATTATTTATGAATTTAATTAATTTTTATTTTTTTGTACGTTGTATCCCTCTAATGTTTGCTCTCACTCGATCGTTAAGACATTCCAAGAGTATGTTCATATTTCGGGACGGATATGGAAAAAAATGAGTCCGGAGATAAAAGATTTTTATTGGGAAGAATTTAAGGTTCTAATTTCTAAATTTGCTTTTGATTAATTATATTATTTAATATTTAATTAAATTTCACAAAATAATATGAAAATAAATTTAGTAGTGTTTATTATTATTTTTTTGGTAGAAATCATTTAAGTGGGATGGTGATTTGAACGAGAGCATAGTTAAGAAAGCATGGGAAAGTCTTGTACGGAAGCGATATTCGACTTTCTTTGTCGTTTAAGGAAAAAACCGAAGTCGACATATATCTCACAGGAAATATGGGATGCATGGACTACGGAATGGAAAAAACCCGAGGTCGTTGCTCGATCCGAGATGGCGAGCATAAAACCGTAGGAGCGAGACCGATGGAGTCGGAGCCGGTCCTTCTAGACATACGGGGGGATCAATCGGCCATAGAGAGCACGCCATACGCATGGTAAAAAATATATATTAATTTATTTATTTATAATTTTTTTAAAAATAATACCCAAAATAAATAATTAAATATTTGACTATATTTAATACATTTATGTTTATTTATATATGTTTTCAGCGTAATGTGTTGGGTCGTGAACCCGATCCTCACGAGGTTTTCTTGAGGACTCATCGGAGAAAAGTTAATGATCAGTTAGTCTTCGTCGATCAACGGTCGAGGGTTATCAAAGTAAGTGATAACTTTGAAACATTATTTAATATCCGTTAGTTAATAACGTTATTTGACATAAGTATTTGATATGATGTGTTTCATAATTATACGAGAGACCGTACAAAGATTAATTAATGAAGAAGAGGTTGCTAGCCGACAATCGGGAGGGACCGAAGCGACCGCACTCGACATTAATGACATCTTTCAAAGGGCCGTTGGTGGAGGAGATAGTAGGAGAAAGAGGATGTACGGACTCGGTCACATGCATCTCACTACTATTCATCCGTCAATGTAGCCTTATCTTCTACTACTTCCGGATTCAATGCGATTGATGAGGCACGGTTGAAGAAATTACAGGAGCAAACATCTACAAGCACGACGCACATCAACTTAGAGGGTACCGTCAATAGCCTACGAGGGCAAGTTGTATCGTTGTTGGATACGACAAATGAGTTGAGAACCTATAGTCGACAAGCAATATATGATGATGTCACGGATGCAACAGATGGTCATGCGGTATTTTGAGCGTGGTGGTAGTTCATCCGTCATTCTCGAGACCGACGACAACGCAACCCAACCTCCAAACGACTCGACCCGACCTCAAGCGACTCGACCCGGCCTCCGACTAATCCCGGACATTAAGTTATTTTAGCTTTTCTATTTTCTTGTATTAACCGCAACTCGATGTATTGTTTTTTGTTATTTAACAATAATTTAATTGTTTAGCGACGTTTTAATACATTTCGAATAATAAAAATTTACGTTTACGATAATTTACGAGATTTTTGTTATTTTAAAATTGTTACTTTTACCTCATTTTATTATAGCCGCAAAAAATGTATTTTTTAAATTAGCGACGGTCTTAGAAACGGTCTAGACCGTCGCTACAAATATAATATTAGCAACGGTCTAGACCGTTGCCAATACTTTAGCAACGGTCCGGATCGTCGCCGATCCGTCTCTATTTAGCAACGGGTATACCAAGGGTTTATAAGACTGTCACTAATTTCATAACCGTTTACATCGACATTTAACAACGGAATAGCAACGTTTGGGACCGTCGTTAAAAAATACCGATGAGGTTTTTAGCGACGGTTACTTGACCGTTGCTAATTACTTGTTAAAACGTTTTAGCGACGGTTTTTTTATTTAGTGACGGGTCCGCCCGTCGCTAAATGGCATTTATCTTGTTGTGTTATATGCACATAAGAAACACATAGAATTATAAAACATCAACACATATAATTGTTTTAATGATATTATGTGTCTTTCATGTCATCTAAAATTAGTCGATGAAACATAATGACTTAAATGCAACAAAAAAATAATAAATTAAAAAAAATATTAGAGATTTTTTTTTTTGTTGACTATTAGTTTGAAGTATAGTTTTAAATTATAGACGGTTGAAAAAATGATTATCATCGTAAATCGTGATTTATTATAATATTAAAATAGCGGTAACGGAATACGCTGAAATCGCTACATAACTACCGTTATATAATATATTGTATGTTATTTAAAATTATGGTTTGGAGTACTTTTTTAACCAATTAACCTTAAAAATCATAGAAAGAGCAATTACTTTGTTGATGCTTCGCTAGCTATCTAATTTGCTTCCTCATATCCCAAATCCCAGATTGAAGCCATTCCTTGATCATGTAAGTTCTCTTGTGATGGATTTGTATGCAAGTCCATGCTTTCTCTCCGCCCATCAAATGCTACAACAAGTGCTACTTCATCAATTCCACTGCCCCAGTAACTTGAATAGTCTCCTAATTTGCTGCCAGATCCCTCTCCAACTTCTGCTATATGTTCATCACCATAAAAATTAGACTTTGCTAGCTCCATATTTGCCCAATCAGCTACACTTAATGCACTGCCCGCATCATCCATAGTTGCTGTACCAATCACCTGACCAATCAAGGATTCATCGTACAAGGGGATCAGAATGTTTGCAGATGAATCAGAGTCACCGCCAACGTTTTCTTGGCTATTATCACTGTCTTCAGTACGGTAAGCACAACTGAACTCATGATCTGTCCTCGAATTCCTGTCAACAAAGCCTGACCTTCCTACGCTCAGTGGACATGCGAGGTTTTGGCAAGCATATAGGGTATCCTCTGCTATCTCTCGATCAAACACGCACTTCCTTTTCTCAGAAACATTTAAATTAGAATTACCAGCATCACCGACGCGACCGCCTTGTTCCTCTTCCTTATCATTTTCCTTAGAGAGTGAGATTTTGTGGCATTTCTCTGTGAGCTGCGAAAGAGCTTCTTCTTGATTTATCACTTTAGACCAAGTAGCACTTTCTTTACCTGTCATCTTGTCTTGCAAGGACTTTGATTGCCTCACAAGCTGTCGTATACGATCGACATTAGGCACCATATGCTTGACTACCGCAGACAAAAGACTAACCTTCCAAGCCTTTTTAAGATCATGAGGCTTCTTATAAGGAGGTGGACCATGTTCTTCTGCTGCTAGTCCTTGATCACCCCACCAAATCTCATTCCCCGTTGGCCACCACGGAGGTGCTAAGCCCCTCTCTAATGGAAATCTTCTTTGTGGAGGGACACAGTGTTGAATGAGAGCAGAAAGAAGAGACCCTAAAGTACTATCTTGCAAGTCATGAAGAAGATGCATATATGAAGAAGGGTCTAAGTCACCTTGCTCTAAACCTGGTAAGAATTCAGTAATTGCTAGAGGAGCATTTTGATCGAATCGAACTTTTTCTTTCCACCACTCACGTAGACTATCCGAAGACCCAGTTACAGGCTTACCCTTCTCTGGAACAATCCCATAAACAAACCCTTGACCGTTGCAAACTTCCATGATCTTCCCCATGTACTTGAGGATAGAATCTTGAGCTCTTGACATCTTCTTGCGGCGAGATGCCTCTTGCTTTGCTAATGAATTAGGCTCTTCATACTCATGCTTCTCTTTAAGCTTCTGCATGAGCGCCCGGTCCTTCAACATGCGCTTCTTAAGCTCATCATAGCAAATCTCTTCTTCTTCATCTTTTTCTTCTTCAAGTGAAGAGCTTGAAGGAACTACCTCCTCATGAATTTCCACCATGATGATTGCCTTGAACAGAGCTATGTATATTTTTTTCCGGTAAATCAAGAAATACAGGTACGGTGTATTTTGCATCAAACATGGCACTATGTGGTAGTATTACACAAATATTGAAGAACATTGGCGGTGCCTGGTGAGTTAATGATGCAAAGACAAGTACCATATGTACGTGAAGGCTTGGAGACAATATAGCAAGTCTCGAGAAGAATGGTTGATTTGGATTTTATTTGAGTCGGCGCAGGGAAAGAAAGCGGCCATTGTGAGTTTTAATGCACTTTCTAATATTCGAAGACATTTACTGTCTTAGAAATATAACTAGTTAGTTGTCGTTGCTGATCCAACAAAATAAGTAAAATTATTTGAAAATATTATTTCAATTTAATAACATAGTATGTTGCAAATTTACTAAAATCTATTGAATTAAAGATAATTAAAAAAATCTAATTTTATAATTTATTTTTTCTTATGTTTTTTTTTTAATTTATAAATTTTGTAGTTAAAAAAACATTATTTGTTCTTTCCTACATATTGATTCTTAAATAAAAATATACAATAATCAAAATAAAAATTTTAATCCAAAATTTTAAAAAAATATGTTAATAATTTTTTATAAGATTGTAATAATTAATATAAAAACTTGTACAAAAATTAATAAATGAATTTTTTATTCTTATTTAAATAGTATGTATTTAGTAAATGTAAAAAGAAAATTGACATTTTATGAAAACAAATATTGACATCTTCAATCTGGTAGGACTTAAGTTAGATTTTTAGTGATGCACAAAAGGGGATAAATGTAACCTTGCATTGGAGAAAATAAAATGAGATCATTTGATTAGTTTTGAGTTTTTTGTATGATAAGTTGATAACAAATTGTAGACTGGCCATAAAGACCACATGAGCAATGGTATAAATCACTACAAGCATTTTGATTAGCACACATGAAGAGGACAAAGATCTGATAGATAACAATTTTTCCAAGTTTATATAGTTGTGTTACGAGATCTTTCTATTTTATGGTCGATATTTGGAGAGTTCACATATTGAACTAGGGTTGACTTTGGAGTCTTTGGTTCATGCTTCTTGTCTCCAATGCAGGATGAAAAGCACTTCATAGCCGCCCCTAATTCACGTAGATAAGTTTGGTTGTCACATATTCAGAAGCAAAGAAAGAAAGCCTGATAAAATGCAGCAATCTAAAAATTAAAAAATAATTGTATGAATTAGCAAATGATCCTAAAAATAAAATGCAGAATATAAGAAAGTATAAAAACAAAAATAGTTCAAAATATGATGTTCATTCCAGTAGAGAATAGAAACATAATGGATAAGTTCAGCAAAAGCTGAAATTCAAAATTTACAAGGTTAAATATAAGAAACAACCATTAACACCTCCAAGTAAGATTTGTGCAAAAAATGTTGTTAAATATATAATTTACCAAAATAAATAAATAAATAAATAAAAGAAAAAGACAAGACAATGCCAGCTATTAAATTTTACCAAACTTAGTAAATCAGCAACTAACGAAATTTTCTAAATTCATGCAACTTAAGAAAAATATAAAACAATAATAATCTATATGAAATTAAAAGGCATAAAAAGGCATCAATAAGTCAATAATAAGTCAATAACTACTTGCTCAATACTATATGCATTTTTTGATAATTTCTGTCAAGATGTTTACTTTTTCAATCATCGAATTCCCAGCTTATCTTTTAAATGAATTCAAAATCAAGAAATTCAAAATTAATACCGATACAATCTATTGACATATAAAATTTCTATCTAGCATAAGAGTAGAAGTAAGACAATCCAAATTTACGAGTAAAATAAAGGTAAAAAAAGAATTATTGTGAAGTCGGCAAAATTCACCTCTAAATCCTCCTAGATGGATATCACCTCAATTTTGTTTAGATCAATCACATGAAAAACTAGAAAACATAATTAGACCACAATAGTTTCAAAATGTATAATAAAGAGAAGATCAATTGATAAATGTATATAATCGATTAGTATGAATCCGAATTAATAAATTCTTATCATTCCTCTTGACACCGTCCACAAACCATCCAAGTGTTACAACAAAGGGACAATTTTTTGGTCCATGCTCCAATTTACATCGACCAAAGTCGTAACCAATGTTAAGGTTCCACAAAATCATGACATTTATAAAAATAAGACATTTTTAATGTGTTATGGAATTAAAAGATAATGAAGAATTAATAAATTTGTATCATTCCTTCGACACTCGTCCACAAACTATCTAACCGTTATAGTAAAGAGACCATTTTTTGGTTCATGCTTCAAAGCATGCTCCAATTTACATCGACCAAAATTGTAAATAATGTTAAGGTTCCCAAAATCATAAAATCTATAAAAATAAGACATTTTTAATGTGTTGTGGAACCAAAATATAATGAAGAACACCTAATGATATGGTCAACCCAACCAAAGAATTAAGATGATTGCAAAATTTCTCTCACATGCATATCCAATGCACAAGCCCTTTTTATAATAAAGTGTCTCCACCAAACTGCCATTTCATGTAAAAAAAAATGATAAATTTGTGTCATAAAAAAGTAGAAGGATATCTAAACCACCAAATGAGTACATTGAGGATGCAAAGTACGATTGTATTGACCACCTAATCTCTCTGTTGCTTCTATGATTGCTTCTTTATTTCTACACAAGAAGAATTTCAAATTTGAACACCTACATATTTAGCTAATTAAATGAAAATTCAATTTGCTTTATCTATGAAAAAGAATTAAAATTTAACATCTCAAATAATCGAAGAGAGATTAAAAAAGATGAAACAATGCATTACAATAAAGTCACCTTTAACCACACAAACTATATTTAAGATGAGTGGTCTTTGAAAAACTACAAAACATAACTAGAACATCCATCATTATGCAAAAATCATCTTTCCAAACTTGAAAATATGCAGGAGCTATTGTAGTTCAAAGTCTTTAGGAAAGAGTGTGTACTTTGTGACCAGTTTAGCTAGAGTTAAGGCAAAACATAAAGAAAGCAACTTAGCATTTCTAGAGTTGAAATATTAGTGGATTAAGTTAAAGGTCGAAGGGTAAAGAATAAGGAAACTCATACCAAATTTATAAACGAGACCAAACATCCACTGTAGTTGAGTAGTGGGTAGCCCTTAAAAGGACTTCGGGATATCTATACCACAAGTCAATATCTAAAACAAAAAATGCACTTAATTATCTTAGAAAAATTGTAAGAACATGACAAAAGGATGGTAGGTAGCAAGCATTTATTGATTTAATTACCTCATGGGTTGCTCAAGTTAGTCCAAGATCAATTATTTTAAACATTATAGTCTTGTGTTCCATCAAAAGGTTATGAGGCTTAAATCCCTAAAAGAAAGCAAGATAAATGGTTAATAGATATGAGAAGAATCATTTCCACCTAAACTAACATCATAAGGGAAATGGTTATTGTATGATTAGAGTTGATAAAGCAAAAGAAAAAAAGATGGAAATTGCCACCGTCCAATGTTCTCCAGTGTCTCTACCACCTTCGTCCATCTTTCTAGCCATTGTTGATCATCCCTAAAACTCTATCCACACCTAATTTTCATATAAACCACTAGTTTTCAAACTCCAAATAGCCACACCAAACTCATTGCTAGCAATTACACCCACTACCCTCTTCCATAACAAAATCCAGCCATTAAAACCCACTATTAACAACCTTGGCACCCTCCTCTATACCAAACCCCAACCACCAAAACCCACTATTAATGTCCCACACCTATTGGTAACAACACCAACTTTTGTCAGCCATGCAACCACCTTTGAAAGGCCAAACACTGTTCTCTCATCGACCTTCTTCTAGTGGTCGAAAACCTTTCCAGCATTAACTTTTGATAGAATTTTTAGGAAAGATTTCATTTATAAGAAAAAGAAAAAATTATGTGCTCGAAAGATGGAGGGATAGTCGATGGGTATGATTTTTAAAGATAAGATATATATGTGACAATCGGTTATTGGTTATAGAGATTACACTATCTTTATCCGATAAAGAAAATCCAATAGCTAAAAGAAATCAAGATCAAATGGTTGAGAGGCAATAAAAGAAGCAATGAAATCAAATGATTAAAAAGAAAAATAAAGATCAAATGATTGAAAAGCAACAAATGATGTAATTTCATAAAGAAAAAAATAAGTCTATAGTAATAGTAAACTCTTATACTTTCTCCCTCTATGTCATCTCGTTATTGCTTCCAACAACCTATGAACCTTGCTGCATATCTTATTCTAACTTGCCACACCCAAGCAATCAAGGATGAACCTTGGCGTTGTGTAATGTAAGATTAATTTAATGTGTTAATACACAACGGGACATGAGAACTTATTCCTATGCGGGAAGCTAAAATTATTATAGGTTGTAAATGGGTGTTCTACATCAAGAAAAAGGTTGGTGGCGACTTAAATCATCATAAAGTTTGGCTAGTAGCTAAGGGATTTTATCAACATCCTAGTGTGGATTATGTTGAAACTTTTAATCTACTAATCAAGCCAACCTCTATTCGCTTGGTTCTCTTTTTGGTGGTCTCCTTTGGCTGGGCTATTTGGTAATTAGATGTATCCAATGCCTTCCTCTATGGCACCATGGACAAACCTGTTTACATGAAGCGACCACCAAGCTTTCATGATAAGTCTAAAACGAGGACATGTTTGTAAGCTTGTGAAATCCCTCTATGGCTTAAAGTAAGCTCCATATATGTGGTTTCAATGGCTCATTGATGCTCTCTACACTTGGTTTTACGGAGTTCCAAAATTGATTGCTTTCTCTACGTTTATAGATTTAGCCTCATTATGATATATTGTCTTATTTATGTTGATAATCTTATCCTCACCGATATTGATCCAACTCTCTTCATTTCCATCATCAACAAACTCTATACTATCTTTGCTTTGAAAGATCTTAGGTCATTTCATTATTTTCTAGGCATAGAGGTACCTTAAACATC